TTAAGAAACAAAAAAAAAAAAAGAAAAACTTGCGGCAAGCAAGTTATTGTCAACAAACGTTTTGTCAAACATTTCAAAAGCCACCATCACCACCTCTCCCCACCCTCATAGTCCTTTTCCCAGGTTTCCTCTTTTTGGGGTCCCTTTTTACAGAAGCTGAGAAATATCATCGGTGTACCAATATTCCTAGGCAAGTGGAATATTTCTGTGGTAAGAGAAATCGTATCATCGCTCATCCGTCCTGGCCTGGCCTGACCCGTAGGAGTCGTGGAATGTAAAGCTCTTATCTTTTACCCGGAGAAAATTTTCTCTCTCTCTCTCTCTCTTTTTGGCCAGCAGCGTATTCTTACGGGCAAATAGTATCCATCTCTTTTCTTCTTCTTCTTTTTCTTTTTCCCTTCGTGGTGTCCTCTATCTTTCTCTCCTATTTCCTTTCTTTTCTTTTCTATCCCCCTTTTACTATTTATCTTTTTCATTCGATTGCGAAGAAGAACGGACTCGAATTCGACTAAATATCTTTATAAGAAAATCGTACGTGTATAGTAAAACCCTAGTACGTAATATCGTATCTACCTCTATCCAAAAAACAAAAAAAATAAAAAACAAACAAAATAATATCCGCAAATCAATTCTTTCGTAATTTCAGTTACGTCAGTATCGATTTTAATAGAAATACAATCTCCAATTTATCTCGATGTTATTCCATCTATTTTTTTACAAAACCAATACAATATCTCCTCACAAATTTTAATAATCATTATTTCTTATAACTATTAAAACTAAAAGAGAGAGAGAGAGAGAGAGAGAATCAAATATCTCGTCGAGTTAAAGTATTATTTCTTCGAAACAATTTGAACATATTTTTCCTATCGATGAACTATTATAGATGAGAAGTTCTTAATAATGTAACAGAAATATCAGAAATAAATAATGCATCCTGTGTCACGGTAATATGAGAATGATGAAGACGAAAAACATTGGAGGAGAATGGAATGGAATGGAAGAAAATCAAAATGATACGTGAAACAAAAGAAGTGGAAACAAAAAGACAAAAAAAAAAGAATTAATTGTAGAGAGATTTATACGTGAGTATAATACAATGAAGAAAGAGAAAGAGAAAGTTGAACCGTCGTCAGTAAGGGGTAGTTTTAGGACGGGGTGATGCATTTAACTAAAGGGTTGCATTTTATTCGCCACGAAATAAGAAACTGGTGGCCTTGGCTGGTAGTGTTTTTCCTTTTGTTTTTGCTTTTTACCTACTCGTCGTTTCTTATGTGTCGTCATTTTTTTTTATTCTCTTCAATCTACCCTTTAACAACCAATAGTTTCTTAAATACCCATTTACGTCATTATTTCATTCGTCTTTCCTACGATACGTTACTGGTAAACTCGTACAGAGGGTTGGTTTTGCCCTCTCTCGTGTACACGTTTCGCATGGTGCGTGCATATCGATCGTCTTGCGCTCTCGCGACGTGCGCCAGGGTGGTGAGGAGGGTGATGAGGGGGTTGGGTGGGAGAGAGAAGGAGGAGGAGGAGGATGTACCTCCAACGTCGTCGTCATCGTCTTCGTCGTTGACGTGGCAGCAGCAGCAGCAGCAGTCCTCGTAGTCGTCTTTGGTTAAATGTATTACTCTACTACTACTACTACTACTATTACTATTCGAAATATTATATATTATATTTCGAAATTTCAACATTTCCGAATAAATTTGTTCTCTCTCTCTCTATATATATATATATTGATAGAAATTTCGTATTAGTATTATTAAAGTAGAGATTTTAAAATGATTATTATGGAATAATATGATTAATATTATGTATATATGTTTATAAACCTTTGATAAATTCCTTAGAATAATATGTTTCAATAATAAATAATATAATTATACATATAATATATATATATGAGAATATTATTCGAAATTAAATGAAAAATATATTCGTGCATTTATATCGTACAATCAATTTAATAAGAAAATTCCTGAGAATAACAATCAGAATTTGTCTCATTTAGTCGTATAAACAAATCATTTTATCTGTACGTAATTAGATCATGTAACGATCTAATATACGTTAGTGTCCTCGACGTGTGAGCATCGATCATCTTAGATATACACGCCGGTTGCTCTTGAGACGAACGCGATGAGCACGCTACGAATGCATCTACCTTGCCGTATTGCACAACTGCAACTGCTGTGGGCGATGTGATTGCATTTACTACTACTACTGCTACTGCTGCTACTGCTGCTGTTGTAGTTGCTGCTGTTGCTGCACGTTACGTTACGTTACGTTACGTTCCATGCGAACGTAGAAGCGCACAGATTGCATCGGATGTTTCGTGTTTGCAATGTCGGAATACGCGCCGCTCTGTTTGGCACTTTAGATTATCGAGCATAAAGGGAAGGTGAAACGTTTGGTGTATGTGTGTGTCTGTGTGTGTGCGCATCTGCGAGAGACGAGAGATGCAAACGTTTGCGTGCATACGTGTATATATATATATGTACACACTTTATGTATTTATATATATATATATATATATATTTAAGTAGAGTATAGATGCGTAGAAGTGAGAGAGAGAGAGAGAGAGAGAGATAGAATGAGAGTGAGAGAAAGAGAGAGAGCCTTGGCAGATTCGAGAGAGCCGATATAGGTAAGTACTTCTATGCTTCCAAGTGGAGCTCGATTCGAAGCCTCACGCTCGAGGGATGGGGTTAATGACGAACCCTCGCTTGTTCGAGGAGAACACGTCGGAATCAATCAACGTTCAATGTGATATAGCCGAGAAGATATCGATATGTTTGAATTTATCTTGTAGGATTTATTAGTTAAAATAATCTTCATAGAGATTTTATTATAGGTATTTATACACGTTTTGAATTCGTTATTTCCCCTTTTTCGAGGATTTCAGAATCTATTATTATTTTAACGATAAATCTGTATATTATCTATATTCGTTTTTATATTTTCACTTTTTTTTTTTTCAAGGATATTCATAAATGAGAGAATGTGAGAAACGATATAAGAGGGAGATTAAACGCTAACGCGTTTCAGATGTTCTAATTAGTGATCTCGAAAATGAGTCTCCCCCCCCCCTCCCTCTCCACCGTTAGCAGAATAGCGACGGTAGGAAGGTGAAAATAATTGATGGAAACTCTTGAAGGAAGGATGATTATCTTTGGAATAGTAGTATGTGTGCATTGGTAACAGTTTATTAGAGGATATTTATGGAAATATTTGAGATGAATTATTAATGATAGTTTAAAAATAGATTTGAAAATGTTGTTTAAAATTATTACTAAGTTTACTCTTAGGGAAGTTGTTTTTTTGGACGGGTTTAATTAAGATGAACACAATATTTATCCGTTGAACGTTTCGTCTCTATTTGAGACTTCCTCAGCAACTTGATAGTTATGTTCATAAGTCAATATAACATCATTTTTATTACAGTCATAAGTTTTCACTATCTTATAAATAGAGTCAATTTTTAAGAACGTTATTCTACTATAACTTTTCGAACACTACTGGTTTCGACTACACCAGTAGTGTTCGAAAAGTTATAGTAGAATAACGTTCTTAAAAATTGACTCTATTTATAAGATAGTGAAAACTTATGACTGTAATAAAAATGATGTTATATTGACTTATGAACATAACTATCAAGTTGCTGAGGAAGTCTCAAATAGAGACGAAACGTTCAACGGATAAATATTGTGTTCATCTTAATTAAACCCGTCCAAAAAAACAACTTCCCTAAGAGTAAACTTAGTAATAATATTAATAAATTTTGGATAAGAAAAAAAATCTTGATTATATTAACGTTGTTTAAAATTTCTCTTGTTTTAATCTTTTATGAGAGAAGAGAATCGTGTCGTGTGTACTTAAAGATACGATCAATTGAAACAACGAGAATGAAAATTTGATATAACTCGAAATGTTACTTTCCGTTCGACACTTTTCGTACGAGCAAAACCGATCAATGATTTTGGATGGTTGGTATTAGACAGGTAGATATGTACTACTACTACTACTACTACTACTAGTCGCACACGCGTCCGATGTCACTAGACGTCGTTCAATTCGAACATGTTCGCGTGTTCGAAATGCATCGAGTTTGAATTTAATGGTGAGCGTGTCTATGATAAATAGAAAAGGAGAAGAACTAATATACAATTTTTCCTTTGTATATATATATTATTTATATATTTTCAAGAAAAATCTTTCAAACGTTCGGTCAATATTTAAAACGACTATCGTCACGAAAACCGTATACTTTAACTTTTTTTTAGAAAGATCGATAACAAAAATAATGATTACGAAATGAAAAAAATAATCGTATGAAATTTTTAAGGAGATAAACATGAAAATAGGAATTAGAAAAATCAATGATTAGATGCATAAGAACAACGTGTTATATTTCGCAATGTATAAGATAGTTACGCGGAAGTGTGAACTGATATCAAATAGATAATAAACATTTAAAACGGTCATCCTTACGGAAACCGTATACTTTTAGAAAGATTGATAATAAAAATAATGATTACGAAATGAAAAAAATATTCGTATGAAATTTTTAAAGAGATAAACATGAATATAGTAATTAGAAAAATCTGAATGATTAGATGCATAAGAACAACGTGTTATATTTCGCAACGAGTAAGATAATAACGCGGAAGGGTGAACTGATATCAAATAGATAATAAACATTTAAAAAGACTATATCTTTGCGAAAACCAAATACTTTAACTTCTTTAGAAAGATCGACATTAAAAATAATGATTACGAAATGAAAAAAATAATCGTATGAAATTTTTAAAGAGATAAACATGAATATAGTAATTAGAAAAAATCTCAATGATCAGATGATGCATAAGAACAACGTGTTATATTTCGCAACGAATAATATAGTTACGCAGAAACGTGAACTGACATTAAAGAGATAATAAATAGAATATATATATATGAAACATAGTTTATAACGTTGAGTGAGTATATAATCTTACCGGACGTGACGTCGTGGTAAAGGCGGTGGTACCGGGCTGTGAAAATTATCCATCATCGAGTAGGCGTCGTGTTCGAGCGAGGACTTGTGATCGAGCGCCTCGAGGTGATCCAACCTGAGGAGCTCGGCCTCGCGAGGCGAATGAAGCTCACAATGTGTTGTTACGCGGAGCAACGGTCTCAGGGCAGAACCGCCTTCGCATCGTTGCTGCCGCGAAGGCGGTTTCGCCGTCGTAGTCGTAGTCGACGACACCCCTCCACCACCCCCTCCTCCCTCTACGACAACAACACCACCACCACTTTTGCCACCACCACCAACACCATCCGTCGCAACGCGTTCTTCAGCCCAGACTTCGAATTCCCCTGCTGCCGAATAATCACCGAATCCACCGTTACCCTTCACCGTTGCACACTTTCTTAAACTTTCCCCGACGAGTCTTGGACAAGATGACGTGGAAGAGGAGACCCGGTTAAATTCGTTCAATCGTTCTCTGCGTAATTGTTCAGATTGTTGATGACGTTTCTCCTGATCTTCTTGATGATGATGATGATGATGTTTATTATCTTCCTTTCGATTTCTATATTCAACCAAATATTCGCGAGATGGCAAAGAGAACGACAGGCTGCCTTTAGTATGACCGGCACGACGACGACCCGTCAGATTCTTCGATTGGTTACTATGATTGGCATCTATCACCGTCGTTGCTGCTTTATTTAACTCTTTGAAGCTTTTTTTTGTTTTTATTTATTCTACTTCTCTTCTATCTTTCTTATTCTTCTTATTATTTTGATTATTTTTATGATAATCTTTCGATCGTTTGTTTTTTTTTATTTTATGGAATACCTCAAGGGGAGGATCTTCTTTCGAAAGATATTAACGTGTTTGCTCGTTAACGCGCGAACTATCAGACAAATAAGTGAGAAGTACGCGTATCATACACGATGTGTGCGTGAAAGATAGAGAGAGAAAGAGAGAGAGAGAGAAAGTACACAGAGTGTATATGGCGACGGACACGACGCGGAAATTCGCGTAAGCAAACTTTCCTATCGATCTGTCAACACCGAGCGAGAAAGTTCAACTCCCTGCCGCGAGCACTGTCCCTTCTTCCGTAGGGACGCTTCTTTTTCCTTTACAACTTTAAACTGGAGGAACCTTTAAACTCTTCGTTTAACTCTTATATCTTCACCTTAATCTTATAATTTCTCTTCTCTTATTTATTATAATATCAAGTATTGTCAATAATATTATATTATTCTCGTCTCGTTAATAATCCTTTATTTCGCATCATTTAAATTAACGATAACACGAACTTTGGTCGATTATGTGAAAAGAACATTAAAGAAAAAAACAACTTGGAGAACTAACGTAACAAAACTTCGACGCACTCGGATATATCGATTCACTCTCACAGAGATTACCATCAATCAATCAATCAATCAATCAATCACTCGTCGTAAACCAGGATGATTCTTGAGAACAATTTCACGTATTAAAATCGATAGATAATTTAACGTGTTACCAAAGTACGATCCAAATGTGAAAAGACGATACCAATGAGATCGATCGAACGAGAATAACAAGATCGATCTTTAGGATTTGAAAAAACACGTTTAATCGTATCTTCTCCTTATCCACGAAGAATATCAAAAAGGGTTCTTTTTCTTTCTTTTTAAAACGAAGAAGAGAGAAAGAGAGAGAGAGGGAGAGAGATTTTGTGTCGGAATAATTCAAAATCACGAATTATCTCTCTGAATACCTTTCCCTATTTTTTTTTTTTATCTCTCTCTCAATTATATACGTCAATCCTTTCTTTTTAGAAACTGAGATAAAATTACCAAACCAAATAGCTGTATCTCACTCAGCATCCAACACAACAATCTCCAATTGACAATAAAATAATATAATATATATATTTTTATTCTTCTTTGTAATACCCCAAAAAAAAAAGGAAACGAAAGACAAAAGACAATATCTTTGTCTATTAATAAGAGATAAAATCTATTTCAATCAATCAATCAATCTATCAATCTATCTATCTATTTCTCTTCTATATACTGTCACACTCTAATCACTATCTTCTTTTCTCTCGTTAAAAGGGGGTAAAAACTCGTCGAGGTTTCTCGCGCACAACCGCGACAGTTGCGGATCAAAGACTGAAGGGCCCACTGACTGCGCCGCAACGCCCGGCACCAACTGACACTGAGTGTCCCCACCACCGTCAACCAATGGTAGCGCACGCGCGCGCGCTTAGGGCGCACGCGCAAATGACGACCCTTGCCTACCGGATCGGGATCCTACTACTACCACCACAACTGCTTCTACTACTACTACCACCACCACTGCTTCTACTACACTACTACTACTACTACTACTACTACTACTACCAACAACAACTACTACTACTACTACTACTACTATTACTACCCTCTACGGGTATATACGATTTTCTCTATCTCTATCCACCTACCTATCTACCTACCTACCTACCTACCTACCTCTTCTACCTATATACCCTTCCTCCTCACCCTCCTAGCCCTCGGCTATGCTATCCTCGAGAGTAAGCGCCGACTAGTGGAGACCGCGACAACTACAAACTCACCCCCTTCCAATATCGACGTTGCCCTGTCAGACGAACACTCACACATCCTTGATTTCCCTGTTGCGCGTCGAGAAAACTCTACTGTATTTACGAGATACTCTTTTAAAAGAGCTTGTGAGTTTTCTTTTCGTTTTTCTTCCCTACCTCTTCTTCTTCTTCTTTTTTTTCCTTTTTTTTTTTTTTTTATTTTTTACTCTTCATCTCTCCTTCTTCTTCTTTTTCTTCTCTTTTTTTATTTTACCTACCTTCCTCCCACCCTTCGTCTATGCCAAAGCACCCCACTCCCATTCTCTATCTCGCTTTCTCCAACCCTATCTCGTTTTTTCTTGTTTCCTATTGTATTTCCTTTTTTTTATTTATTTATTTCTTTATTTCTTTCCTTTTATCATCGCGTAGAAATCGTTAGCAAATCGTACGTTGTTAAATGTTAGTTGACTTTACGTAGATTTTCATTGTAATATTTGATTGAAGGTAATGTTTTTTTTTTTGTTTATTTAAAGAATAATGTCATACATACCGATTTATTTCTCGTTTATTATTTGAAAGAGGATTCGTTTGTCAAATGTATTCGCGAAATTTCGTATCAATGATAGTAACGTATATATGTATAACCGTAAAAAAGAATCCTATAACGATAGAATAGTATACGAAACGATTTGTATAGGAAATAATTGTTTGATATCTCTCGTTACTGACATTATATTATTTTCTCAACGATTCTATAGCAGTTTTTTTATTTTTTTTTTTTTTTTTTTTTTTTTTTCTCCCTTTTCCTTCTTTATTACACGAATAACGTTTCGAGAAAAAGAGAAAGCACCAGTGTTCGAGTTCAATTATTTTCGTTTGAACATATACTCTACGCGTTTATCCCTTTTCGATAAAAACTTGTTGACTAGTAGAGCGGAAAAACATTTCAAACGACTCTATACGTAAAACAATCGTAACTGGAACGAGGAGATCTAGCTTGATCTCGATCAAAACCTGGCTGCTTTTTCCTTCGTTTTTTTTTTTTCTCTTTTTCTTTTTCATCATCATCTTTTATTTCTTTCTTGCTTTCTTTTTTTCGTATGTTTGTTTGTTTGTTTGTTAGTTTGTTTTCTTCGCGAAGGAGCCCACCACCGTCGAGTAGAAGGGTTTTTATTCTTCCTTTCGTTTTGTTGTTGTTGTTTAAAACAACAACAAAGGAATCTTTGTGAATGTTGGTTGTGTAATACACAACATACACGAGGTTTCCTCCCTCGTTCGATGGCTATATATTTTTCTTCGTAGAAAATATGCTTTGTACGTTAAAAGCTAAAGCTCTTTTACCCTGTTTTCTCGCGGTATTTTTCTATAAAAGTCAAAGGATATATTCTCTCGTGAAGGAGATAAACGAGCGATGGAGAAATAAAAATAATAAAAAAAAAAAAAGAATAATAAAAAGAACAAAAAAAAAAAGAAAGAAAAAAGAAAAACAAGAAATATCGATAGACCAACGAAAGGACTATTATATTTCGATCTTTTATCGATCTCAAGCAGCCAGGCAGCAACAGGTACTACGTATAATATATGTATATATATATATATATATATACATATTTATGTAAGTATTACATACGCATTTAACTCTTACGATTCGTAACAGGAAAATGTAATAATTAGAAGAAGAAAGAAAAAAAAAACGAGAGATAAATGATAACCTAATGAACTTATTAAAACCGTACTAACGTATGTATATATGTATGTGTGTGTAGGTACAGACATTAAATCGTCCGAATTCAACGATATTTTAGCAGCACGTGTAAACGGATACACTCGATGAAAAATATATTCGACCAACGAACGAAGAGCTTTTCACGCAACTCCGGCAACGTATAAAGTAAAATATGTGCATGTGTATAGTAGATACACTATACGTCGTACGTTTGCATCTTTGAAAACACGTATAGATGCAAATGCAAGGTGAAAGATGCGATGGTAGATTACGAAAGAACACGTTTATCTATTTGTAATTTTGAAAAATATATATAATATATTCGCGGAGTGGATAAAAAATATTGCTGCTAATCGATAATCCTTTTAACTCCCTTATTTTCATGTTTTACTTTTATATTTGTTTTTCTTGTCAAATAGAAAAAAAAACAAATACGAAATTTCGACGATATCTTATTACCCTATTGTTTTTCTCACTCATCGTTACATTCCCTTACTTTGTATTAATTTAACATTTTCGTTTTACAACGATTCCGTCCCTTTTTCGTTCCTTCTTTCTTTTTTTTTTTTCCCTCCCATTTAAAAACGAAAGTGTAGGAAAACATATTTTTCTTCTTTTTTTTCTCTCTCTCTCTCTAATAGCTTTTCAAGAAGGGTAGTGGAGGTGGTGGTAGTAGTGGTCAAGGGATGGGAATAGAGAATGGTTGGAATTTTTGAGGAAAAAATTAGTCTGCGAGCTGGAAGCACAAGGCTTAAGCCCAAGTGTTTCGTAGAAAGAAAAACTATTTGAAAAGCGTAATGAGAGAGAGAGAGCGAGAGAGAGAGAAAGAGAGAGAGATAAAGAGAGATTTTCGTGGTCAGAGGGTAAAGTTAGTATACGACGCGTATACATTGCTTTCCAGCCGCATCTTTTTGGGGGATTCTGTGGCGACTTTTAAAAGGGGCCAAGCCGCACGTGCGTTACGTGCGAACGACATTCCACGTCACAAATGAACTTTTCTATCATCGAGTTCCCCCGTTCAGGTTAAATCGTCTAGAACAACGTTACAACGAATCCTCTCTTACGAGTAGTATTTTAAATCTAGCGGAAAATTTTCGATCGTTTATACAAGGGGTTGGGAGGTGGGGGGTGGGAGGAGGAGGAGTTGGGGTTGGGTTAGTTGAAAGCCTATAAGTATCACAAATTTACATAAATATTAATGAAACGTTTATGGAATATTAAATATGTCACATTAGAGATATAATATTGACAACAACAAATATTATATATATATATATATAGATTATAAAATCGATGTAATAACAATTTATAGTTAAACGGTTTTATCCAAATATTCTATATAACATTATCGTATATTTATCGTTAATAAATTGTAATTAAATGCTAGTAAATATATACATTTAGTTTTCAATTAAGCCGAAAAAATCGATAGGTAGCAGATTTGTTTCTTTTTTTTTTCTTTTTTTCATGATAATTTTCCGCAATCGAGGCAAGTGGTTTTGTATAACCTCGGACTCGGTTTGTGAATTCTGGATAAGATCAAAGAACTCTCCTCTTCTCTTCTCTTCTCTCGTTCTTCTATCTTCTATCATCCTATTTTGTAGATCCACGGGGCTCACCGAAACGGCCACCACGTACAGTTTAACTTATTTAACCTAATGGAATTTAAAGTTCAACGCCGAAATAGATGCATTCACGACTTTCGTTTCGCCCTTCCCATACCCTAACCCCTCAATCCCCTTCCCCCCCATCCCTGCCATCCTCACCTGGATTTCGTGATCGTTCGTAAAAGGTTTGCGGAATCGGATCAAGTATATTCTGTTCTTTTCTGTTTTCATGCGAAAACGTATTGGCTAGATAAAATCTTTTTAACCGTGCAAACAGATTTTCCATTTGATTCTGTGAAAATCTATTATTAAAACATTATTTTTATCAAATCTTTTCTATTTTATATTTCATACGTGACAAATACATATATATATATATCTATAATAAAAATCACACACGATTAATCGATATAATAAGATAATAATAAAATTCAATAAAAAAAATAGAGATATAAAAGATAATAATTAAATAATTTCTAATAATAATAATAATTAAATACGTAATTTTTATTAACGCAGAGACACAATACTCGATCCCTAGGGGAAAATAATAAAGCGGTAATAAATGTTCCGTGATATATATCATGACTTTGGTTCGACCTTGAATAAGCCCAACTCTACACCATCCTTCTCCTTTCCTAATTCACGAAAGGAAGATAGAAAGAGAGAAAGAGAGAAAGAGAGAGAGAGAAAGGGGGTGAAGTTGGGGAGGGGGTAGCAGGGGGTTGGGGTGTGAGAAAGTGAAAGTGAGAGTGATAAAGAGAACGAACTCTAGAAGCAGTAAGTAAGTTTCAACGGGACAGCAGATAGCACACGTAACCAACCAACCAACCAACCAACCAACCAACCAGTGCGCGTCCCTCTTATTGCCAAGAAATCATAGAAGCACTCGAGCCCTCTCGAAACTACCCTTCTGACGCTCGTATGCAGCCCACGAGAACGATCGGAAGGAAGTTTAATTATATCCTCGATACGTCGGTCGCGTCGGCTACCGTTGATACACTTATCTACTCACCCTAACACACACCACTTTATTTACTACACACTACATAAATATATACGAATTTCACAGAAAGAAAGAGAGAGAAAGAGAGAGAGAGTACTCGAAAATACATCTCTTACAATTTGGTCTTCGTCTATCACTCATCACGAAACGAATGAGTGGGGGAAAAAAAAGGGTACGGAAGATGTACGGGGGTAAGAGTTGTTTCAATCCCTTTTCCAGATTTCTCTCTCTCTCTCTCTCTTCATCTACACAACAAGAGTAGACCCTAAAATCTCTCTTTATTTTTTTCTTTCTCTCTCTCTCTCTCTCTTTCTTTCTCTTTTTGCTTACAAAGAACGTTTACCCTTTTAGTACCTCCTAGTCTCGCGAAGAGGTAACCAAACCC